CCCCGAAATTTTTTTCAACTTTTTCGATTTTTGTGCACACGTGGGGACTGGCCCACGTGTGCACAAGCCTCCCCCTCCCCCCCCAAGTGCCCCCGGAGCGCTGATTTAGCGATCCGCACTCAGGGAGCAACTTGGCTATTAGATATATAGATGTAGAAGCCTTCAAAAATATGACAGTGTTTGAAAAAGAATGCTACCACTTAATAATAGTGCTATATAGGTACAAAGGAATCAAAGCATTGCACAAACATTTTTGCAACAATTCTTGAATTAATGCTAATTAACCCTGTAAGGAAGGCAATTATAATAATTTCCACAGTACAGGTGGGAGAGCTGAACAACAGTAGCTTTCCAAGGGCCATCCAATGAGATTATAGCTGTGATTAGTTTTGAACCCACAACTAACTCCCTTTCATCGTTCATTCTCTGCACCAGTTCTCAAAAGTATTTGTAGAGCAGCCTATTCCCTTCTACGGGATATGTCCCATCTTTGAACAGCCAGAAGCAGAACCACCCGGAAGGGTTCAGAAGAAGAAGAGTTGGTGCTTATACCCCGCCTTTCCCTACCCAAATGAGTCTCAAAGCGGTTTATAATTACCTTCCCTTCCTCTCTCCACAACAGTCACCTTGTGAGATAGGTGGGGCTGAGAGAGCTTGGAGAGAACTGTGACCGGCCCAAGGTTCACCCAGCAGGATTCAAGTGGGGGAGTGGGGGATTGAACCCGATTCTCCAGATCAGAGTCCGCCACTCTTAACCACTACACCACACTGGCTCTCAAGCAGAACTGCTGCTTCCTGATGTGGTTATATGTTTACTATGAGCATTCTTCTTCCAGCACTTCTTGCCATTATAAGTCACAGACCTTCTCAATAGCTACCACAGCCTTTTGTCTCTTCAGTTCCCCATGATGTGATATAGTTCCAAAGTACTATTAAAGAAAGGACCTTCAGGTACAAAACAACATTGTCAAACACTGACCTGGACAAGGCCTCTTTTGTAAAGTGAAAAAGGATGCTTCAGCAGTTTTCGTAGGGAAGCTCTGAACGCACATCCCTTGATTAATTTTGCATGAAAGGGGATTTTCAGCTCATGAAGAATACAACAGCTGTGACCTCACACAAAGCGGAGGCTGCTGAAACACAGGTGGATCACGACAAAGCACGCCACTCTCAAAGGTATTTTTAAAAACACCCAAACCTTTGCCAAACCTCTCATTTCTTTTAAGCCCCGTAACTCCCTTCTGTTGATGCTTCCTTTTATCCACTACCAAACCTTCTTAGGCAGCACTTATATCTCTGTTTTATTAATAAAGAAAGGGAGTCTGCAGAAGCCATCAATGCTTGAAAATATTTGGGTAGAGGGAAATGCTTTTTGGAAGCTGCGTGACTTTTTTTTTTTTGCTCACTTTTTAAAAAGGCATGCTGGTTTTGTCCACATGTTCCTCTACCCATACCACACTCTACCCATACCAAAATGGCTTACAAATGTCACTGGATGTTCGTGGGATCCAAAGAATAACTTCTGCACGCAGAGCAGCCATTTTGCTTGTAGAAGTAGTTTACATACAAGAAACTCCGAGATCTAAATAGCACCTAGAGAATCTGTTCTGTATGCAAAAGCCTCTTTCACACATCTAATGGTACACACCATTTTCTATTCAATATTGTCGCCTGGAGTTCCAACAATATTCATATTTTGCAAACTTATAAAAACCCTGAATGTTTCTCTCACCAAAGACACTGACAGTCGTTGTTTTGTTGTTTGTCCCGGCAACATTGCTTGCCATGCACATGTAATCACCAGAATCCTGCAGTCGAACCCTTTCGAGGTGAAGGCTTCCATCGCTGCGTACGCTAATATATGGATTCTGGGCCAACTGGGAGAGGAGGAAACAGATTATTTCTCTGCTAGGTCTAGGCTGGACATCAATATTTTGGACTTTTGCATTTAAAAAAGAGTCAAATTTCTGCACCAAAGTAAATCACATTTTGCATAACTTTGTTTTTTCCATTGCTAGAGTAGTCCTACCTGTTGAGCGCCATCTGGCTTCTCTGTTTCCACCAGGCATTTCTCTCTGACTTTCAAGAATATCTTTAGTTCTCCCCCCCCCCCGTATGTATGTGAATTTTAAACTTTTTAAATAAAATGATTTTTTAAAAAAATAATATCATTGCAATTGTATGCTAGAATTCTTAAGAAGCTAAATTGTGCAGCCAATGCTACAACCTGCTAGCACTGTAAAGACGGTATATCAACACAGAATAGCACAAAATATGGGCTAAGTACTTATTGTAATTCTACAAGTCACAGTGCCTAAGAATCTTTCAACATAATCTAAATCAATTTTCTAATCAATAGAATTTATTCTTGAGACTCATCAGGAAGAGTCCATGACAATACTAACCAGCTGACATGATCAAATTTGATGGCTAATAGACTCCGGGAAGGCGAAAGAAAATACTTCTTTACTCAAGAAGTGAATAAAACATATAATTCATTGCCAAAGGATGTAGTGATGGCCACACTTTAAAAGGAAATTAGACAGATTCATGAAGGATAGGCTTAGCCTCTGTGCCCTGTAGTTAGCTCTCCATAATAAATGCTGGCAAATGTAAACTAAACAGGAAGCTTACAAATTCCTATCCCAATAAAAATGGGTCCCAGGGACAACTTCAACATGGGGGGCAGAGAGGGGGAGGAGATTTCCAGAAAAACTTTAGCAACATTATCAACAGAGATCAAACAGTAACCTGATTTATTAAGGAAAATTATGCCTTGATGATGCACAGCTAATATGTAAGATCATTAAGTTGTTTATTACAATAGTGACTACCCAGTGTACAGAACTAGTGGACAGTTAGAAGACAAATTCCATGTACTCCTCAAATAGAGCCCAAATGCATGGATCACCTTATCTATTCTGCAGCTGGTAATACTCTGTGGTTTTTATTCTCTAAGATTGACACAACCTCTTAAAATACAAAAGCACATCATGAAGACCTCAGAACTGGAAGAAAAAGACAAAACCAAGCTGTCTCCGGCAGGTTGACTCCCTACAAAAAAAGCACACTTGGTGAATATAATCCACTTTGAGTTTTCCCTTGGAGTGCAGAATTTGACACCTACTTAGCAACTACAGGAGGTAAGTATCGCTTTCCAGAGGAATTAACACCTCTTTCTTTCAGCAAAAGGGAGGGGAAGTGGAAGAAATTTTGCTATTTATGTTATACACAAGCACAAGAAGCAAGCAGCTGCGAGAGCCAAAAAGAAAGCTGACTCTCTCAAATCCTGTAATTCTGTGGGTGTTGAGCCAATATTCTTCGAAGCCACTGAGGAGAAATAAATAGGTAGCCTTTCTCATACCCTCATGGGACACAGGCATCCTTCTTTCTACCCGCTCAGGAGCTTCTCACAACACCCTGAGTACATGACAGTTGAAGTTTAGCCAGAAATTACCTCAGAAAGCTCTATCTAATGCCAAAAGATGATCCAAACTGAATGCAGTATATGTGCACTCTCCCCGTGACAGGCTTGTGCAACTGGAAATCTGTGTCTGCTGCCTAAAATGCCCTGCTGCCAGGTTACTGGCTCCACCACAAAGAATTTTCCAGCACTTCATAAGGTTAAATATTAGCAGGGGTTCTCCATCTTGCTCCTTGGACAGAAAGGATAACTCTTATGCCTTCCTATTCTTCCTTTGTGATTCAACTTTCTTTGTTTACTCCTCATACCCATCTATGGCAGGAGGGAGTTTCCATCCATCAGGAAGGACTGCCCTCATGCATGCAATGGACACCATCTACTTAATCTCCATAATAAAGACATTGTTGACAGGAGTAAAGTGGAGATGGGCTCAGTCCGATACAAAACAGAAGTCATAACACTGGGCTGTCTTCAGAAAACAGAGCCATGTGCTTTTTTTTAATATGCCTCATACACACACACACACACAAAATATATTCATTTTTTATTTATGTATTTATTGGATTTATACCCTGCCTTCTCCGCCAAAGCAGACTCGGGGTGGCTTACATAAAAGTGTTAAAATAGTTTAAAAACACACAAAATCTAAAATGCAATGCATACATACGTTCCTATGCAACAGCAGTCATAATCCAATGTTTTCATAACCGGAGTCAGTTAGTACAAACTTGGATGATGCAAACAATCAAAGGAAAGCTCCAAGTTATATCAGGATGTTAAATGGGGTCAAATGCCTGGTGGAAGAGCTCCGTCTTGCAAGCCCTGTGGAATTGAAGTAGGTTCCGCAAGGCCCTGGTGTCCCTCAGGTGACCATTGCGTGGATTACTGTTGCCAAGTTGCTACATTCAACGAAGGGAACCAACTGCCTAATCAGCCGAAGATGGTAAAAGGCTGACTTGGCAGTGGCTGCTACCTGGGCCTCCATCATTAAGGAGGCATCCAAGAGGACTCCCAGACTCCTAACCTCTGGCGCTGGCACCAAAGGTGCCCCATCGAAGGTTGGGAGCGAGATCCCTGAACCCAGGCCACTGCAACCTAGGCACAGAGCCTCCATCTTCATCGGATTCAGTTTCAACCAACTCAGTCTAAGCCATCCAGCCACAGCTTGTAACACCCAATCCAGATCTTCTGGCCCAGAGTCTCTGGCCACCCAACAACAGATATAGCTGGGTGTCATCAGCATCCTGGTGACAACCCAGTCCATAGCTCCAAGCTATCTGGGCAAGGGGGCGCAAATAGATGTTACATAACATTGGGAACCACCCCTTGAGGCACTCCGCAAGTCAGTGGGTACCTGTGGGATAATTCCTCCCCAAGTGCCACCTTTTGTCCTCGGCCCTGGAAGAAGGAGGCAAACCATTGTAAGGCAAGCCCCTGGACTCCAGTGTCGGTGAGGTGATGGACCAGTAACTGATGGTTGACCGGGTCAAATGCCGCCAACAGGTCTAACAACAACAGCACCGCCATCCCACCTCGATCCAGATGTCTTCGGAGATCGTCCATGAGGGCGACCAGTACTGTCTCCGTGCCATGGCCCAGATGAAAGCTGGACTGGAAGGGATCTAATATGAAAGCGTCATTCAGGAAACTCTGTAACTGAGTTGCCACTGCCCTCTCAATTATCTTGCCCAAATAGGGCAAGTTGGAGACTGGCTGGTAGCCAATTCTGCCATGTCCAAGGACGTTTTTTTTTTTTTAAAGAGATGGCAGAACACTGCTTCCTTAAGCGCCCTCAATTATATTTTACTTGGTTATTGGGTCATCTAACAGTGACTTGCTCATGTAAATGAGGCATGGCAAAGGAGATAGAACTTTTATAGAACTTTTATATCATTGGACAACAACACAAAAGCCACATCTTTCAAATGTTATTTAGATGTTCTCCCAGCCCTGCCTCTAATCTCTGAGCTGTTCTTACAACACTGGGAAAATATTTAAAATGTAGATAGGCCAAAGAATCTGTATCGCTCCACAATTCTGATTCCATGGGAAAGATCAACAGGAATGGTTTCTGTGGCTGGGTGATTTGAACATTGACAGATAAACAACTTTCATGGAGAGGGGCAAAGGATACCTAAACGGAATAATTTTACCCAGGTGTCTTGTTGTAGAAAAAGAGCTGCCGGAGCTCATTAGCATAACTCATTAGCATAACTTATTTGCATATGCCACGCCCCCTGACATCACCGGAAGTGACAGAAGGCCACACCCCCTGACATCACCGGAAGTGTGTCAGAAGGCCCGGCTACTTACCCTCCTGCTTCATCCTCATTCCCAAACGGAATGAGGATCAAAGCAGAGGGCGGGGTAAAGAAGGGGGCGGGGCTTCACCACGTGACCGCCCCGCCCCCTAGAGGTTCTCTTCCGGAGCTCCGTACCTGAGAGCTCCCCCCCGACTAGAGCCCTGATTTTACCTATTCAGTTGCAAGTCAACTAATGATGCACTTGCACATGTCAAATGGCCCCAGCTAATCACAACTAGAAGTTGAGCAGATGTCATTATTTCAGGAGTGGGGGGAGGTCAGTCAATCAGTTTATTACGGTCAAAGACCCGTCAAACAGCATACAAAATCAAAAACAATCTCCAGGTTATCGAGAAGTGTTACAGAGTAGAGACATCATGAGGAGTATTAAGGAGGTGCTTACGGTTTATAATTGCAATAAAAAGAAATTTAGCAACCTTCCTTGATATTGCCATGGATTTGTCCTCCAGTAAGTATTTCAGCAAAAGTTCCTCGGACTGGATAACTAGTTGTCCTTGGGGGGAGGTCAGTGCAAATACACCTTCAACAGTTTCATAAAATTCGGTTCATTACTTAAAATTGATTGAATTCTGCCTTTCCCCCCAAAGAGCTGAGGGCAGTGTTTCCATTTTATCCTCATAACAACCGTGTGAGGTTACTACACAGAAAAATAAAGACTTCCCCATGATCACTTTACAGATTTCTTAGCTAAGTATAGATCTGATCCCAGGTCACCACAGTCAACACCACTGCATCACACTAGCTCTCTTGAAACTCTCTAATTGGATCCCACAGTAAATTTCCACTAATGGAAAGGAGAGGGGACTTCCGGTTTGTGGATTGGCGATGGCGGTCGCTTTGCATGGACCTAGGGGAGGTGATTAGCACACCAGCGGCATGGAGGGGTGCCACCTCAAGTGGCATCCCCACGGAGCCTTTGCGAAAGGCTCCAGGCTAGAGGGTTAGCCTCTTCGATGGCTTGATGCCGGAGAATTGAGGCTTCCCTCTGCCCTGATGGTCCTGCTGTTGTGTGGCCTTTGGGCACAAGCTAATTTGACCAGGACAAGTGTGGGAGATTGAGCGGAATAACGACTGATGTGAGCGAGGTCAGAGATATGACCAACAATGAACGTGAGTTTTAAGTAAACGGACTAATTGATAAATGAATCCCCCCCCCATGGGAAAAGCGGAGCACAAAGAGGGATGCCTCTTAAGCGCATGGACAGATAAACATATCGAAGGGGGAGCGGGAGGAAAAAAACAGTGCGTGTATTTTGAGAGACTTACTTGAGTCCCAATAGCGAAGTGACAAGTCTTTCGAGCCTCTGCGAAGCAGTTTGAAACTCTCAACAATGTTGAAAAATGGCGGCTTCCCGAGGAAAGTTTAAAGCAAAACTGGGAAGTCAGAGTCCGAGACTGGAAGAGGGAGCTGACGTCATGAAAATGTTAGTGGATATGCTCAAGCCGGTGATGGAGCAACTCGATGGTATTAACCAGCAACTGACCTCGTTAAAACTTTGCTCTACAGCAGCGCCAGCTGGCAGAAACGGAGAAGAAAGTGGAGCATGCAACTGAGAAAATCGTAGAGATGGACACCGCAAATAAGATGATGAAGAAAAGAATGGGAGAAGTTGAAACAAAACAAAACAAAAAGAAAATTGTTTGTTACAGCTGCAAATGGAAAAGGCTAACATGATTCTCAGGTTCCAGGGAATTCCTGAAACTGAAAAAGAAGATTTGAAGAAGACTCTGGGCGAGATTATTTCTCCAGCAACAGGCTTATCAGCGGATGAAATAGTAAAAGATATGGAGACTGCCTATCGGGCTTACTCCAACTATATATAAAAAAATAGCCTGCCTGGAGAGATTGTGGTCAGATTTGCAAGAAGACAGACCAGAGATGCCATATTAAAGGCAACTTCAGCAACTCCACTGAAATTGGGAAATACAATCATCTCCCACTCTTGGGTTTTTAGTTAGTGTGGGTATCTTTCCTTTATCCATAGATGTAGTCCCCTTCCCATTTTTTTCTTTGTAGTTTTGTAGTCTCATTAAAAAAATAATAAAAATACCCCTCCGGGGAGTTTAAAAAAAAAAAAAAAAGGAAAGGAGAGTGTGATTTTCACCAACTCCCTGCTCCTGCTGCAGATCATCCCTCATGGTGTTCCTGGGGGGGTCCCCTGTCCTCCAAAAATAGCATTTCGGGGGAAATTTCAGCAGAAGGGGGAGATAAAAGAAGTTCCATTCCACTGATGGGCCTGTGCCTTCCATTAATGATTTACTGCAGGATCCAAGCCTATGCCTTTCTACATTGCAAGTAGCAAGTAGAAAACAGTGCAAGATAAATAACACTCTCTTACCATCACACCATTTTTAATCCATTTTCGCTCGGGGATGGGGTTTCCTGCCAGCAGCACACATGGCAAAGTGAGCTGGTGACCTTCTATTACATTAGCTGCTGCTGGACTCATTCCAATGAGAGGGGTAACTATTAAAGAGACAGAGGGAGTGAGAAACAGGACACACTATAAAAATTTGTGATTCAGATAAAAATGCAAAAAGAATATTGCAGTCAGGTCTGTCCTACAAAATACACCAAGACCAAACAATTGTTTGAGATTTAATTAATACATTTTATGAATCAGATTATGAACTTCAAAAAAACACTGATCTTATATTTGTTCTTTTTTGTCATCTAGGTAATTTATATGTGCTATGTGTAAATTTCAGGATTTTAAAAATTTTGATTTTAAAAAAATGGAACGGTATGATGGAAGAAATCTAGTTACATAACTAAATAGGACAATGTTTTTGCTCTGCTTTCTAAATGACTTGTCAACTTCCCAATAACTTAGGGGGTTGGGCTGGGGCCCAGTGGTAGAGAATCTGCTTTATATGCTGTCCCAGGTTCCATCCCCAGCATCTCCATTTTAAACAATTCAGATGATGAGAAAGACATCAACTTGAGAACTAGGAGAGCCGCTGCCAGTAGACAATATTGGCCTTGAGAGACCAATGGACTGTCTCAGTAGAAGACAGCTGCATGTGTTCATATGTGTTCAGCTGAGCAGTAATAACCAAGATGGATTTATCTCAAATGTAAATTTGATACAGCACTTTTAGTGCATCCTTGTTGCTCAACATTCTCTGCACAGAAAGACACTGGGAAATTTTTAATTCTAGATCCAATATTGGAGGTGGATAGAAGTCAAGTAAGCCAACCGGTATAAAACCCAAACCATCAGATAGTTACCAAGTCCCGTCACTGTAAGGGTAGCCGGCCGTGAGACGATCTTCCCAAACTGGTTTTCAGCTTCACAGATATAGATTGCTTCATCGTTAACCCACAAATCTAAAATTACATAAAAGTAAACAAAACAAAGGATTAGAACATTAGCTTTGCACTAGTAAAATGATTGGTACCTATTTATTTATACACACACACAAACACACACGCAATTATTTTATCAGGAAAATTCTCAAGCAGCCCAAAGGACCATTGCAGTAAAATCAGGCATAGTGTAACATGTAATACAGCTGAGCAACTTCCATTCATTTCTATTTGATGTACATGACAAAAATTACAAGAGGCTACGTATAGTAAAGAAAAATAACTAGGTGGTTGTTTCAATTTATGAAAAACTGTAATATATTTTTCTTCTTCACAAGCTGAGGCCAAACAAAGGCATTTAGGCATAAACTTAATGGAATAAACTAGTTGAATTCCTAATTAATGGAATTATACCTTCCCCAAAATTTACCCAAGTATTAATATAATTATCTGTTCACCATTCTGTTGCAGTATGCCCACCAGTCCTCTAGGAAGAGTATACACACTGTGAGCACAGCAACAGTAAGAAATGGACATAATGTCATTTATTTCTCCAACACAAGATAATCAATTATGAAGTGCAAGCATGATACAATTTGAAAGGCTGCTGAAGAATGCAAAATGTACACCTCTTTAGACAGGCTGCTACCCACATATATGACTTTAAGTCATGCCACAAGCATGCTTTCACAAATTGCTTCTTCCTGAGGCTAAAATTGTAATGTGGAAAGTTCTCAAATATTTATATTCTTATGAGTGGAGCTGGCAACCCTACTCAGGACTAGCCCCAATGTGTTCCCCACAAAGGCCTGGAAAGGGCCTCCTGGCTTTGTCTTTTTACTGACAGAACCAAGCTTGGTTGCCTAGCAACAGCCACTGAAGGAAAAGTTAGTCCCACAGGAGCCAAGCAGGAGAAGTGTCTTCATCAGGAGAGACAGCCATTTTGGCAGTTATTCTGACAGGAAACAGTGGCTGAGGCGGCAGTGGGTGGGGAAGAGGAGCAGACCCAGCACCCAGCCAATGGCACACAATTACTGTTGAGTGGTGATTGATGGGCCAGTGGCTGATAGAGTGCACAGCACAGCCAATGGGAGAGCTGGAAATGGCCAACGTGTTATGATGAGCATTATATGTCATTAACAAAATACATACACATTTTATATAAAAATTACAGTTATTATTCCTTATAGGCTTATATTTCATATAGATAGAGTTGGTGCAGTGTTCAGTTCTTCTTACATAATTTTCTATACACTTCTTTCCCTTACCTATATATTGTTTAACCTCCAGTGGGGCCAGGAGATCTCCCAGAATTACTACTGATCTCGACTATGGATATCAGTCCCCCTGGAGACAATAGCTCCTTGGAAGGTACACTGTATGGCATGATACTCCTCTGAGATCCCTTCCCAGGCTCCACCCCCAAATCTCCAGGGATTTATGAACCCAGATCTGGCAACCCCTATTAAAAGCCCTTGAAAACAGAACAAAAAAGTATGGTGCAACAACAATAGAAAAAGTATGGGCTCAGCAAGAAGATGAGTATACAATACTGGGCTGAGCAGCAAGTGTGACAACTCTTTGTCTAAAAACGATATCATGCTGTGGCAGTCAATTCAGTAAGTCAATGTATCTTGTTTACTTTATTTGTTCTACCTACTGTTAATAGAAAGGGCGCCAGTTCTGAGTTGGCTGATAGAACTAACAGCAAAGGGTCTTGAGAAAAGTGGGGCTCCATCCATGCGTTGCCACTTCACCTTTGGTTCTGGGTAACCATGAACATAGCAAGCCAGTGTCACATTTGAGCCAATGTCCATCGATTCATCACTGGGCTCTTGTGTGAAAACAGGAGGTGCTGTCAGAGAGGGGGGGAAATCCAAAAGCAGTACTATGATTTTAGAACTTTTTAAGCAACATAACATAAGATGGCTGAATCAAGATCTCCAAGTTTTATCTCTTGCAATGTTCAAATAGTTTGGCTCATGATAGTTGGCTCTATAACATCTTGATTCAGCATGACCCTGTGAATGAAATGTTGCGTTTGGACACAAAGACTTTAATTCAAATCACTGCTCAGCCATGTACGCATTAAATGTTCTTGGACAAGCATGTCATTAGCCTCACACCTCTATTTGTGGAATGGAAACAATAATAAAATCTCTCAGAGGCTAGCTGAAAAGACAAACTTTTGATTTAAAGTATTTTTCACATTTAAAAGTACCATATAAAGCAATGGTCTTCAGACCTTCCAGATCCAGGACTCACCTTTTATCCCAGATGGCAGTGTGAGGCCCAATAAGCTGCAAGTAAATGTCTGGAAGTCAAATGACATCACAGGCACGTCATGGGGAGAGGAGGAGCCAGAACCCTCCTGTGCTAAAAAGGAATCCTCTCCTCCCCTGAGTGATCCTGCCATCATGCTGTCCTATATGCATATACACTAGCAGCAGATCATTCCAAAATGCAGTGGAAAATGGCTGTTCTTTAGGGGCTCATGACCCAGAAGGTGGAGCTCCATGACAAACCTCTGCATTTGACTGCCTATGCATATAAGTAGGCAGGGCTCTTTTTGTAGATAAAGCCCAGCAGGAACTCGTTAGCATAATAGGCCACACCCAACAGCAGAAACTCATTAGCATATCAGGCCACACCCCCATGTTACCAGAAGTGTGCTCATCCAGCCACACCCACCTTTTGCTTCTTATTCTGCTTACCTTGTTTGTTGTCAAAACCCAGGGCTTTTTTGGAGCAGGAACTCCTTTGCATGTTAGGCCACACACCCCTAATGTAGCCAATCCTAATGAGTTTCTGCTGTTGGGTGTGGCCTATTATGCTAATGAGTTCCTGCTAGGCGTGGCCAACTTGGAAGCCAGCCGGAACTCCGTTCCTGTGCGTTCCTGCCCAAAAATAGCCCTGTAAGTAGGGTTTCCCAGGCTTCCCGCTATGGCAGGAGGCCTCCCATCTACCATCACCATTGCCTGCCGCCATTATGAATGGCAATGGGAGCAGGCCCGTAGCTACATTGGGGCATCTCGGGGCTGGGGCCCCCGACGTACCACCCGACTTCCCATCCAGCTGGTTTATTTTATTTTATTCTTCACACGCGCCACGGATGCACCGTCACCCTGCCCTGCCTTCCAGTGCCCTTGTGCCTCTCTCTCTCGTTGCTTTTTAAAACTTTTACTCTCTCCTCTAAAGATCATGGATCCTCTGGAGCAGCTTTAAAAACAGCACAAGAGGCTTCAAGCCCAAGAGGAAAATAAGGAACTTGAGTGTTTCCCTCTCGCACACCAGCCTCTTCCACACCAGCCAACAGATTATGCTAATCAATAAAATGCATGCAGATGTGTTTATTTTTATACAAGCTCACATAATTTGCATGTCTTAATTCTGAAGCCATGATGCTTACAGCCAACGTCGAGAGTGATTTTGCCAGATGCGCTCCCTGCATCATTAGTTGCAACACACGTGTAGTCACCAGCATCCAGATCCTGTGTTTCCTGGATCTTCAACTGTCCCCGATGGACATCAATAATAAGATATTCTGATGCCCTTAACTCTAAATCTCCTAGATCCGGGTAAGGGCAATAACAGCAGAGTTAATAAAATACTGTTTTCACTTACTTTCCCATACATTGGATAGCAAAACTGTTTGAAACAGTAAAACTGCTTCACTATAGATTTACAGATGAATGTGAGGATTGCCAACATGATATAAACATTACTGCGTACCAGTCAGAAGCTGTTCCAACTGGTATGTGCTGTAACATTTGTTGCAGTGTTCACAAGAGGATTTACCTCAGCATTTACCTCTAAGCCTGGGCATCAATCAGCTCATGAACTGAAGTTCATCGTCATGTATTTTGGCCAGTTCATGGTTCACAAAGCAATGTTTGTGAACTGAAGAGGCCCCACGAACTTCCACAGATTTTAATGCAGTTCGTGGCGGGTTGTTAAGAGCAGAAAAATGTTAAATGGCTCAGAGCCATTTAAACTCCTGCTTTCTGTTCTTCTTTGGTTTAAATGGCTTGGAGCCATTTCACCCCCAGCTTTCTGCTCGCTGTGGCTTTTGGCGGCAAGCAAAAAGCAGGGATTGAAATGTCTGGGAGGCATTTCACCCCCTGCTTTCTGCTCCTCGTTGCTTTTCGTGGGGAGCAGAAAGGATGGGGTTGAAACTTTAAATAGCTCACAAACTAATACAAACTGGTTCAGTTGTGAACCGGTTCGGTTCACGAACTGGTCTATCAATTTGCGGCTCTGCCACAAACCATGAGACAAACTGCAAAAATATGGTTCATGTCCATCTCTATTTACTTCAGCAATTAGGGTTTTTTTGTGCCATCCTAAAACAGGTCTATTCAGAATTGTACTCAATCAGGGAAGTGTTCTCATTGTTGCATTGTTGCATTTGGGGCCCATTTACACAAAACCAGTAATAGTGGGAATTATTTTCTCAAGAATATTAGTAGATTACCTCATTAATAGGAGGGAAACATATAGTCTATTCATAGGCAGATGGTCTTTCCAAGTTAGCTGGTCTGTGATACCAGTTATCAATGATCCATGCGTGCTGCAATTTTATCTCCTGGGGAAAACTGTCAAGTCATGTGAATCATTTAGGCCTAGCATAGTAGTGCTGATAGGTACCTTTAAACCATTTAACCTGAGGTGGTGGAACTCCGGTGGTTTTGCATTCCATCACAGTTGTGTCTCCAAGAGCAATCAGAAGTTCTTTTTTGACAACAGTCAACTTTGGGCTTTCTGGAAAGAAATGAGAGGAGAAACTGTGAGATTCATTTCAGACTTAAAACCATAGTTTAAAATTAAGAGCTAGTTTTGGCAATATGGGGTTGTATCCTACAAATCCATTGCCTTGAAATGAGGAAGGTAAAGGAGGTGAAATTGTCTCATTCCTTGCATTGGTGGATCTAAGCCTGCAAAAGAGAGAAGAGAAAGCAATTTTGCCCTCTCCTTTCTCCTGCCCCCCAACCCACATAGCTGCTTATCCACATGAGTCCTGTAAGCTCAGGAACCCCCTATTTGGTGTCAAAAGGAACTTCTGGGGGAGGGGAATAGGGAGAACTCTTGAGTTTCTTCTACTGACAGATCACTGGATCCAGCCTGTAGTACTCATATAAAGATATATGTTTATAAAGAATGACTGGGGAGGGCAGTTGCTGAGCGATCTGTTGAAGGTACAGGTCTGATCTTTAGGACTGCCACTTGAAAAAGGATCTTAAGTAGCAAGGCTGAAAACCACTGCCAAACAGACAACAAAGGCCTACATAGACCAATTATCTGATTCAGCTTCCTATGTTTACCCATGGATCTTATTCAGCTTTCTGAGTAATTATGCATAGCACACAGTAAAGAAAGCAATTGACTTCACACTGTTTCTTTTTATACTTGCCAATATATGTGAGGATCGATGTCTCCTGGACTGTTCCAGCGGTATTACTAGCCAAACAGCCATACAGTCCTGCATCTTTGGGGACTGCACTTCTGATAATCAAGGTGCCTTCAGGAGTGAGCCTGTACCTGTGCGTCAACAAAGCATCTTCAAAAACTAGCTGTTACGATGGCAATCTTTGGTTGCTTCTGCACGGAGACTTTGTACCACATGCAACCCCAAACACCAGCAGTTCCTTTTGGGGCTTCCCCACAACATCACTGTCTGGTCATCCCCCTTCCAGCTTTTTCCCAGCACAACTATGATCTTTCCCAAACCTCCTTCTTTCCTAAACCATTGTATCCAGAGAGGCTTTGGAGAAACCATGGAGAGGAAGGCATGCATTTCCTCATCTTCCCCATCCCCACACAGAACTGGCACGATTTCCACCCCCACCCCCACTGCCAGGAGGCTTTTTGCAAGTTTTTTTTAATTAGTAGGTATATGGCTATAGTGTTTAACTATAGTGACACACGTACTACTGATCATAAAAACCTTGGGGGGGGGAGGAAATGGTAGGCAAAGGGGAAAAGAATGGGAATCACCCCATGTAGAGGCCACAATGGGAAATCACCCTCCCCCCATGCAGAAGCAACTTTTATGTCATTACTGAAAGATTCAGGCAACTCTGCAGCATTCAAAAGTTAATTTTCATGTATGCATGTCACTTATAAGATGAAATATATGTAAACCCTTATTTTCTTTAGATCTTCATGAGGTGCTATAAACCTTGTTTGTTTGCCAAGCGTTTGACAGGCTATGAACAGAAGGCATCTTTTAGGTGGGGTGTATTTGGGGTTATTACTTTATTCGGTTTTAATTTGTAATTTTTCGAATTATTACCTGTAAGCTGCCTTAAGCCAAGTGAAAAGGCAGGGTACATATATATTTAATAAATAAAAAATATGACTTATGCGCAATACTGGAAGCAAGACAAAATACCAGAAAAATGGGACTGGATTAAAAAAGTTTTGTTTATGGCAGAAATGGACAAAATGACAAGAAAGCTAAACAACCAGGAAGATGAAGATTTCTTTGAAGAATGGAAAGACTTTAAAGAATATTTAGAGACCAGTTGGGATGTTACAAATAACTTACTGTGTTTTGAAGAATATTAGAAATGGAATAATTTATGACTAAATGGAATTTAAAGTTACCAGATGATAAGACAGCTTTATTTCATGCATCACAAAAGATGAAATTAAATTCACATTTTCTAAAAAGCATCTCTAAATAAAAATTAAAACCATAAAGGGTAAACCATCTGTAGCCAGCATTTTCAATTACATTTTTTTTCACTAAGACTTGTGAACTTTTCTTACAACAAAAGATGGGTACCTGTGGGAGCCCATGATAAACATGTCATTGTGAGTCCAGACGATCATTGGCTTTGGGTAACCTGTTGCAGAGCAGCTGATGGATACCTCAGATCCTTTGGTAAATGACTGGTTTTTTGGGGAGACAATAGCTTTGGGTGGATCTATAAAATTAAAAAAAAAGTTTAGGCTTTCCAGTGCATTGCCTTACCAGCATTCCACATGAAAAATGATTGCTCGATGGGATCTAGTTTAAGATTTGCATCACTGAGATTAAGTATATCCAAGTAAACCAGCCAAGGCAGAGAAAAGAGAGGAGTCAGAGGAAGGAAGTCCCACACTAACCAGCTACGGATGCAGTAGCACACATAAGAACATAAAAAGAGCCTGCTGGACCAGACCAGTGGTCCATCTATCCTGTCTCACAGAGTACCCAACCAGTTCCTCTGGAGGTACAACAACAGAGCATAGAGGCTGAGGCCTTAGCCTCATGTTGCCTCTTGGCACTGGTATTCAGAGGTTTACAGTCTCTATATGTGGAGGTTCCCTTTAGTCACCATGGCTGGTAGCTGCTAATAGATCTATCAATCTAATCCCCTTTTAATGGCCATCTTTACATCCTCTGGCAGTGAATTCCACATTTTAATCACTCACTGAGTAAAGGAGTATTTCCTTTTGTGCTGAGTCTACCACCCACCAGCTTCACTAGATACCCTCAAGTTCTAATATTTCAGGACAGAAAATGTTCTCTCTGTCCACTATCTGTACCTCATGCATAATTTGATAAACCTCTACCATGTGCCCCATCTGTGTTCAGCCTTTCTTCCTAGGAAAGGTGCTCCCGCCCCTTAAGCATCTTAGGCCCCGTTCACATGGAGCATTTGCTGCGCTGAAGGCACCCATGGCAAACCCGGGGCGTCCCACCGAAGATGGGCATTAAAAAAGTACCTGGGATGACCTACTGGCAAATGGTTTGCCACGGGCTGCATGCAGAGTCTCTGGGTGTGATCGTGCCAGCGCACGGGGCTTTCTCCCCCGTTTTCCTCTTTGCCGCGGGGAAACCGTCATCGTGTCTGATTGCATAATGGCGCATCAGAATGCGACGGCGCAAATAGCCACGCTTTCCCTCCCCCCTGCGTTTTCCGGCACATTTGACCGGGGCCTTATTTGCCCTATTCTGTCCTTATTTGCCCTCTTCTTCTTTTTTCAGGCTCTGCGATGTACTTTTTGGGATGTGGAGATATGGAATACTGCACACAGTATTCCAAATGAGATGGTACCACAGATCTATAGAGGGGTGTTACAATATTCCCTGTTTTAATTTTCAATCCCTTTCCTAATAATCCCCAACATACCATTACAATGCACTGGGTTGGCAATTTCATTGTACTATGCACTATGATGACCCCCAAAGTCTC